TTTTTTTTTTTTTTTTTTTTGTTTCCGGCAGAATGAGCTTGGGAAGAAAAACATTTATTTATTGCCCGCCAATTACGCAGAGACCCGCAACTGAGGTTCCTTATTTACGACGACACGCTGCCTCTTACGTTCGATTTGAGATGCATAGACTGTAAACCTACATATGAAATGAACTGTTAATAATCCGTAACATTTGCTCGTGTTGCTCTTTTTTACATTATGCGTGCGCAAGAAGAAGTCGTAACAGACCGAAGTGTTCAGAAAACGGCTAACAATAAAGTGACAGGATTAATCTTCGAAGAAGATTTTTATTTGCTGGCTTCCATGAATCAGATCTCTTTTATTTCTAGATATCTTTCTTTCGATCGAAGTAACATTTATTACAAAACATATATATATATATATTTAATGCTATATAAAATTACCAAAATTCGTATAATCATCGAATCAATATCTATAATTGCAGATATTTCGTTGGTATCGGTGATTACAATTAACGATCAACCTCGAAGAATACGAAGACTACCAACACGAAGAACACGATAAGCGTGTAAACTTGCTTTTACTTGCCTTTTTACTTTATTACCGAGATCGATGGCGATTTTTTTCTTCCACGGAGCTCGCCTTAAAAGTGCACGACTCTTGGCTGATCTTGAATGATCTTCCGTTGGATCGGAGAAGAGCGCACAGGTATTTTAGTAGAAATATCGACGATGGCTCGCAATCGATCGAGAAGCCCGATAAGTTACTGAGCAGAGATACTGGCTCCATTCTCGTTCGTCGAAGAGGCCGATTAAAAGGGTGGACGATGTTGGATCGAAATTGACGGCTTAATTTAATTCAGAGGGCAGGCGTACAACGCTGCAACGTCTCTTTTTGGTTCAGCCAGTGCATTCGCTTCCGAGAAATGCCAAAGGAGAAATGTCTTCATCGAGTAGCGCTTAGTGGCAACTGCCGCATCACAGTTTTTGTGCTCCTGCTCCCTTCGAAGCTTTTTATCGTTCATGGAACTTACAAACGCTTCTGGTTAACAGAGTTTGAACTCTGGGACCGAGATGAAGATTCGACTTTCCAGTTGGCTTTAATTAATCATCGTGTTCGGTAATTGAGAAGTAGAATGGTGGATTCAATACATGCCACACGTCTATTTTGCACTATCGCTGCGGTACAATCTATTTTATTTCAAGAGATCCAGCAAAAACGGTTACCATTACTATCAAGGTTTCAATCAATGCTTCGCTTTGCCTTCCTTCAATCATTCCAAGCGTTTCCTTCGTTCGAGAGGGATGAAGGTTCCTTCAATCAACTTTTTGCCGCTCCGCGGATTGCCTTTTTCTATCAGTTCAAAGGTCTAGACGTCAATGGTCCGGCAAGGAAGATTGAAAGTTCTTCTTTTAGAAGGTTCTAGCGCTTGGATAAGCAGCTTTAAGACTCAAATTTAAAAATTCCGTAACTCTAGATCTCATTCTTTTGAGTTTCATGATTTTAAAAATCTTGGTCGATTTTTCACACAATTTTCAAATAATTGATTTGACTTCAATTCACACCGGATGGCTAGAATCTAATCTGACACTGAAACAGGTGATTCACGATTGTCTGCGAGAATACCGTATACGAGGTATACCATGTACCGGAATTATTAACTGTTATGTAGATGAATCTCTTGCAGTTCTTCCACGTGAGTGCTCGAACTTTTCAACCTACGCGCCGAAGGCGAGGATCCTCCATCATCGACAGCGATTGATCAGGATACCGCTGCCGTTTCTGCTTCATACAGTAGCAATGACTGTTCTGCGTCATGCGTGTGTGTCACGAGCTAGAAGAAGAGTTTTTTCTTCTAATTTAGACTTCTCTGTGACATCAAGTACATTTTTTTGACACTCTCTGATGACAAGTAGATGAGGCTTTTTCTTTGGAAAATTTTAAAAAAGTATCTTATTTGGAAAGAAGTGAATGAAAACAATATTTTCTGGTATAATGGAGGATAACAACTTTTTGTTGCTTCCAAGTAAGTTTAATTTAGGTTTAAATATTTTTGTGAATTTCTTTAAACAGGATTAATGATGGTTTTCAGTGAATTAAAATCCAATTCTAAATTTAATTTTATTAAGCTCGAATGATTTCATTATTTTAATATTTTTGTCAGTGTTGCAAGATAAATGTTCAATTACCACCGGTGTGATCTACATTAATATATGTAGAATATTTAGAATATGTATGAATATCATTTAATGCACATTTCTTGTATTCTGAGAATAACACAGGTCGAGTAACCTTTAGTAGATTTCTATCTCTGCATAGTATAATAAAGTATGAAAATAAAATACCCACAGATATGTGTCTATGCAGATTAAATTCGAGAATTACTGGATGAATTTAGATGCAATTTTCTCTATCCTATAGAATG